CTGTGCATAAGGTTGCTATGGGTCGGTCCTGACTCAATGGCACCTAACAATAACAACATGGGGTTGGGGGCAAAGCCTTGGTTCTACATAGGGTGGGGAGGCCACTAAATAAAACTAGGACCATGTGCTCCATGGAAGGTTCAGCTAGAAAAGGAAATCCTGGGAAAGGGAGGAAACAAGCTAGCGTTTTTGGCCTGGGATTAGAATCCTAATGAAGTAAAAATAGAAAAGAAGAAGAGAGAAAATTGGGGTGAGGATAAAGGGGGTGAGGATAAAAGGGTAGAGAAGAGAGGAGAGAAAGGGAGAGAAAACGGTGTCTAAAAAGGTCTGCTGTTGGAACGCACCCTGGGGCTTTGTGGGAGAAAGACTTGGTGATCTCCTTCCATAAAGATTACAGTCTAGAAAACCCTATGGGGTAGTCCTACTTGGATTCCTGGTTAATGTGCTGGACTGCAAGGTTGGTTTGAACCACGAGGTCAGAAGTTCAAGCTCACCAGCCGCACCTTGGAAACTCTATACAGGGTTGCTATGAATTGGAACCAGCACTTACTAACAAGTGCTACGCTATCACATGAGGTTAGTATGAAGCTAACAAGGATTTCTTTCTACCTTTTCTCTCTTAGAGAGACTGGTAGAGCTCTTCTTAAGGTATTTGCATTTTGGTAAGAAAAAAAAAAATCACAAGAAATTGCACTTTAGCTTGGAAATCTCAAGAATCAAAAGGGAGAACTTTTGAAGGCACTTCCCGATCCCTGGTGTTTCCCCTTCTTGGTCACTCTACCAAGCAGTTTGCTTACCATAATGATTACACCAATTGGCCCCATGAAACTCCAGATGAACCCTGTCTTTCTATCCAGCCAGCAGCTGCAGAGAGAGAAACAGGAATCAGCACTTCATCCAAAGCCATGATCTCAAATTAGTTACTTGTCCCCCAACAGAATCACTAATGGGGAATATTGGGAAGTGAGACTCAGAATCCGTCTTCTTCAAACCCATCAACAGTTTTTGCTTGTCTCATAATGAATGTTGTAGTCCTTTAAGAGTGATCTCTATGGTATCAAACGGACACTGCAAATTGAAAGGTTAGATGTGAAACTTGGAGGGTGTATCTGGATGGAGGAGGAACAAGCCAGAACTGGAAGTTGAGAATGTTTGCACAGTTTGAAGAATGTAGTCACTGAATCGTACGTGTAAGTGTTGTTGACTTGTAGTCCTAGTGTAGCGCTGCAGGTTAACGCACTGCACCACAAGGTCAGTTTGAATCAAAAGGTCGGTGGTTCAAGCTCACCAGTTATTCCTTGGAAACCCTATGCAGGGTCATTATGAATTAGAACGGACTTGATGGCACTTACCAACCAACAATGGTGTTGTATAGTTTCAATTAAAAAATTAAATTATTTTTAATAGTAGAAATATGAGTCAAGATCATTCTAAGGATGGGACAGGTCACATTTTGGTTTCCTTTGGGCCACAGTGCACTCTCTCTCAGACCTTCTTCTGGGATGAGTGTGTCTGAAATGTTTACCCAATGTTTTAGGTTAAGCTCGTTCTCAATCCAAAACCATTCTGATCCGATATCCCTCTAGCCCAAACACTCCACTGACAACCTTCGTCATTCAAGTCTCCATTGTAATGTCACTCCTGATTAGCCCTGGCTAGTGAGTTAATTCCAACTCCTGGCGCCCCCTGTGGCACAGGATAAGACCGCTCTTTAGAGTCTCCTTGGCTGTAATTGATGGATGCACACACCCCTGCTGTAGTCCATGCTGATGGGTTTCAATCACTAACTTTTAGTTAGTTGTTGCTCTTGTTGTTGTTAAGTGTCAACTGAGTCGGTTCCGACCCATAGCAACCCTGTATAGGGTTTCCAATGAGTAGCTGGTGAGCTTGTAGTCCATTACAAACTGCTACTCAAGGACCTCATTCACCTATAAAACCAAAAGTCACCTCCGATGAGTCCATTCTGTCTCATAGCCAGTCTATGAAGACAGCATAGAACTGCCTTATATGATTTGGAAACCTGCAAACCTTTATGGAAGCTGACTGCCACATCTTCCTCCTTTGCAATGGGCTGGTGGGGTCAAACCTCCAACCTTTCAGTTATCAGCTGAGTGTTTTAACCATTGTGCCACCAGGGCTCCTTCCATTTGCCTGTATTTCAGAGTCAATAGTGTCCCCTGGATTTGTGCAGTGCACAAGCTATGCTTCTGTGCATGACAGACCTAACACCAATGGTACAAAGAGTCAGAGCTCAGTAGATGGTAACTACGACTCCTATCACTGTTCTTGCTCTTGTCTTGCTCACATAATTATCATCAACTCTGTAGAAGGTCTTCAAAGAAAGGGATATTACTCACTGATCATGTGTCCCATAACCCTGTGGCTGGACACTGGCAGAAATGACCACCACCAGACCAGGGAGTCCGTAGCCAAAGGCGCAGAGGTACAACATCTTGATGTTTTGAGAGCTGAAGTAATTCACCACCTTCAGGTTCCTGACCATCAGGAAGAGGATCATGGCTTCCACCAGCGTCCAGAAGAAACAGGCGAGGAAAAGGTAGTGCAAGATGCCAGCGATGATAGCACAGCCAATCTGGAGAGGAGAAGTATAGACATTCAGCCCATCAGCTACCCTCCCACTCCAGGGAAGGAGGCACTGTTGGACTGATAGACAACATCACAATAAAGAGAGAGGAGTTTGAAGTTGTCAGGGATTCCATTTTACTTGGATCCACAATCAACACCATGGAAGCAACAGTCAAGCAATCAAATGATGTATTGCATTGGGCAAATCTGCTAGAAGTGAGGATGATGAGACTTGATCTCACACACTTTGGATGTACTATCAGGAGGGGCCGGTCCCTGGAGAAGGACATCATGCTTGGTAAAGTGGAGGGTCAGAGAAACAGAGGTAGACCCCTAATAAGATGGATTTAAACAGTGCCTCCAACAATGGGCTCAAATGAAACAATACTTGTGAGGATGGTGCTGGACCGGGCACTGTTTCATTCTGTTGTACATAGGGTCACTATGAGTTGAAACAGACGCCAAGACACCTAAGAACACTACCACCCCAGGGAGCAGGCTCAGGAGTGTGGGAAGAACATGGGAAGACCTACCTTGACTGGTATTCTTCACACATGACCATTCTTTCTCTCCACAAACATGGTACTATTCCTTTGGAAGGAATATCCCCATTTGCCTGGGACAAAAATGACCCAGGATGGTTGTCTTTCAGAAACCACGTGAGTCTGGGGAAAACTGAATGGTTGCTCACTCTGCTTTAGGGGATACACAGAGATATGTTGCTCTTTGTTCTCAATTCTGACTCCTAGTGACCCCATGTGACCGGGTAAAGCTTCCCCATAGGATTTCCTCTTTATGGGAGCAGATCACCAGATCTTTGTCCTGAAGAGCCATAAGGTGGATTAGAGCCACCAACCTTCAGCTAGCAGCCAAGAGCTTAACTGCTGCACCACCAGAGCTCCTTGACTACGGGCACAGGAAGGAACAGTAGGAAGGACCACGTTAGATAAGATTAATGATGTTAGACTGAGAATTATCACAAGGAGTCAAGCAGATGAAGAGCCAAGGGAAGAATATTATAGACAAAGGGGGCAGTGAGTGCAAAGGCCCTGAGGCAGGACCAAGCACTTAGAGAATTGGATGGGGGTTAGCAGACTGGTGGGAGGTGGAGTGTGAGACCTGACTGTTGGTCTTGTCACCAGTGAGGAAGAGAATCTTGGCCAGGAACAGGGACACGCAGAGGTGCAGGTGAACGTAGGTAGTGTGGTGAAGGACGGCACGACACAGCAGGAACGTGGCGATGGCCAGGGCTAGGCACACCAGGGAGATGACCATGCCCACGAAGCTAATCATGTTCAAGGCAAATCCCACCTGTCAGGGAGAGATCTGCTGTTAGACTTGGAGGGGAAGAATACCTCCCAGGCATCAGAAAGGCTTGGGCAGAAAGGGCAGGGTCTTTCTCCAGCTGACACTCAGTGCAAATTGGATATTGTCCACCACTGTGCCTTACTGTCCATCAGCATTCATTCCCACCCCATGCTATACCCACCCATTGCTGTTGAATCGATTCCAACTCATAGCGACCCTATGGGACAAGTAGAACATCCCCTTGGGGTTTCCAAGCCTGTAAGTCTCTTCAGAAGCCAATTGTCTCATCTTCCTCCCTTGGAGCAGTTGGTGGATTTGAACCACCAACCTTCTGTTTAGCAGCTGAGCACATAACCATTTTGCCATGGGTTCCCACAGCGTTCTTTTGCCAGAAACATAATACATACTAT